ATGCAGGAAACAAGGCAATGCCCCAGTGATCCCTGAATCCTCCTGGTGTGGCAGGCACTGACTCCCCAGCCAAGTGATGCTGGTCCTTCACTGTGCAACCCCACTCCCCAGTTTTGGGGCCCTATGCTTGTGGTACTTTCTGATGCCCATAAAAAAACCACCTTTCCCCATCCCCAAGGAGACCGACCTCACGTCCACGTGCAATATTTCTGCCTCGTCTGCAGTTGCTGCCCTCATGGGTGCCCATGTTTCATTGTGGGGAGGCTCCTGGAGGGTGTCACCTCTCTCCCTCCCATGGAAACTCCTTTTCCTTGTTGCTTTGTGGCCAAAATGCAACTCTCTGGGGTGGATATTTGCAGTGCCTCCAACTTCTAGAACGCTCATCTGCCAGACCAGTCCCTTCCTGGTGCCAATTGATGTTCCCTATGAATGTGACACTGCTGTAATCACCTCTGCTGATAAATGATGGACCCTGCAATGTTTGACATAGTTCCCGGGCAAAGGCAAACCTCATTTGCTCTGACACTTTCCCCTGAAAAGCATTTAATTTTCAGAGGACCTGTCATGACTGGAGCTCCATCAGTGCTTGCAGATGTCTCCCCAGGGAGTCAGCCCTGCCAGGTCTTTTGGCATGCTGAGTGTCCCTGAGCAAAGTGTTTTGGCCCCAGTATTCCCCCCGGGCTGTGGATTTGGACCCCTGACTTGGAAGCTAATAGTTTCTGTTTGAGAAGCACCAAGGGCCCCCAAATCCTCCTGAACATCACCAGGATCTGCAGCATCTTGGTATCACTGAAAATACAGCTTGGAGCATCTCGTGCATGAAAATGTTGGCCTTAACCTCCTCGTGCCTCAGTTTCCCCATCAGTGAAGTGGCCAGGGTGAGCCATCCCCTCTGGAAACTGGTTCAATGCCTGTGCCTAGGTAAGCACAAGCTCTGGACACAGCTCACAGCTGCGACCACAAAGGTTTGGCAGGACCCACCAAACACTGGGAGCAGTGTATGAACTGCTGGGGTGGAGTTTCCATCAACAAGTGATTAATTCTGGTCTCTGTTTTACACCTGCTCATGGTGAAAGGCGAAGGGCCAACAAGCCCTGGTTTGTTCCTGTTGGTCCTTGGGTTCCTGGTGCCTGTCCAAGCAGAGCCCTGGTGATGGGAAGGGGATCTGAAGCACAGCCAGGCAGAGGGTCCAGCCCTGGTGACTGCAGCGTGTCCCCCCTCTCATTTGTCCCTGTCGGTGTTGCCCCATTAAATGCCTCGTCTGTACTTTCCTTTCTTTCATTTTTCTGTCCGTGCGCTGACTGTTGCTGCTTTCTGTCTTTCCTTGAGCTCTGGGACTGGGCTGGGCTGAGCTGTTTCCCCTGGGAGCAAAGACGTGGGAGAAGGCTCTGGGGGCTGATTCCCCCTGCCCTCTCCTCACAGCACAAACCAGGACCTGAGAGAGAGAGAAGTGAAGGGTTTTTCCTTCAGAGCAGCCTGTAATTAATCTGATTTGCAATGAGACCAGGCAACCCCTGGGAGCACTCCCCACTGGGTGGATGGAGAGGATTGTTTGCTTATGGAGGACCCCAGACCCTGTTTGTGCCAGGTACCAGCTGCATCTCACCCACCTGCACAGAAGTAGGTGTCTGTTGGTGCTGCCCATGCCATCAGGACTCCACTTAGGATCAGGGCTGGCTTTGAAGCAGGGCCAGGCATGGCATGGGGGCAGCTGAAATCACTGGCAGAGCTGCCCCCTTCCCGTGTCTTGAGGGTCAGGGGGGTTTGAATGGGATGGGTGGGTGACCCACAGCCAGATCACTGTCCCCTATCATCTCCAATGAGATCTGGGGCATTGAGTGAGGGCATCACCCAGCCCTCCTTCCCGAGGGCATTGGAGGGGAGGGATCTGACTGGGACAGGAGCAAGGGCTGAGGGCAAAGAAGGGAGTTTATAGCCCTGGTCTCTGTGCACAGCTTGGGGTGCAGCAGTTTTGGGGTCTCAGTTATGTGTGCCAGCCTGACTGTTCCAGTGTGCTGCAGGAAAGCTTTCCTTCCCTTCTCTCTCTGCTCCCATGGCCACCAGCCCTGGGCTGGGTGCTGTGTCCCATGGGTGGGACCTCTGTCCTCCTGCCCAGGGGGTGGCTGAGCCCCAGGCTGAGAAACAGCAGCTCCAGCAAAGAGCCTTTTTTGTGAAGATGAAGCCTGTGTGTGCGTCCGTGCCGGTGTCTCGGCTTGCATGCCCCGCTGCCTTGTCTTGAGATGAATTCAAGAGCAAACCAAGCAAACGAAACAGTTTAAAAAAAAAACAAAAGAAAAGAAAACAAAACCCAGGAACTTTGTGACAGTGGAAATAAAAGCTTAATGACAGTAACAAAGTGGTCTGTGATGTGCTGGGGGGGACATAGGGCAGTCCTCAAAGCTGCCCTTGTGCCCAGAGGGGTCAGGAGTTGGGCTGGGGGATGTCCAGTGCCCTGAGCATGGGGCTGTGGTGGCACCAGCAGCAAGTGGTGACTGGGCTATGCCAGTGCAGCTTTAAATAGGTACAAGGGGTAACAGGGTCAAACAGGAGGGGAAGTTTAGGTTAGACATTA